AGATTGGGTCTTATCAGAGTGGCTTTAGACCTGGCAAATCTACCATAGACCAGGTATTCACAATACGCCAAATCTTGGAAAAGACCCGGCAGAAAAGATCGACAATCACCTTCTATTTTTCGACAACAAAGGCGCTCGCGACAGCACGAAAAGAAGTTGTCTTTATGCCACGATATCTGAATTTAGTATCCCAGCGGAACTGATACGGCTGTGTGAAATGACGTTGAGTAATCTCTCAGCTCCGCCAGAATTAGGAAGAACTTACCCGAGCCGCTTGATACCAAACGAAGTTTCAGACAAGGTGACACCCTTTGGAGAAGATGATAAGAGCCGCAGAACTGAACCGCTCAGAAATAATTACTACGAGGCTAGATCTGAAAGTGTTCAACTTGGAACCCGCTGGTGGTAGCAGAGGAAGAGGGAACCCCCACTGCGTTGAAAAGACCAAGTGGAAAAGAACTTGGCTTCACTTGGCATTTTCAAGTGGTGGCAGTTGGTACAGAAGAGTAGAGACTGGCGTGCTTACAGAGCCAAAGAAGAAGGAGAAGAAGAATATTAAAAATGTATAATGCATATACCCTGTTATTGTAATATACATGTGTTTTTGTACTCCTGCTATCACCTTATATGGATTCGCCTTGTATTAAACAAGTAGCAGTGTACCGACCAATTCGCCTTGACTGTGGACAGGGTTGCCACATTGGTTTACATTGAATTACCAAAATTGGTAGAAAAAATTTGGGTAGGTAAAAAGGTAAAGTCTTTCTCTTTTTGGTAGATTTTTGTTAAGGTATTTTGATTGAAAAACAAATAAAACTTAATTCCGGCTTTATTTTTCGTAATTGTCTTTATATTATAAAGGTCTTTCCAAAAGTGTAGTCTACTTTATTGCATTAATTTTCGAACGCTTTAATGCATACTTTTATATTTACACATATGTACATACGATATTTATGTATGAATATCGATAAAGGGCGAACATATCGTGCTCTATTCAAAACTCATTTTACAGGAATCCTTTTGATTACCTAAACTAGAGATTCTCAAATGTGCGCGTGCAAAGCTATGCACAGCGGGCTAGGCAAGCGCGGAAAGAAAAAGTAATCGGAAGGCGAAAACGAAGTCAGAAGAATAGTGAGATTGTATTATGTACTTGTTGCAGTGATGCCAAAAGTGAGCATACCTAATGTGACCAACCGCACTTCTTTCCTTGTACTTCGTACTTCGCAGTACAGTCAAATGTACTTCTTTGCGATATTTTGTACTTCGGGAAGGAGAACCTGTAACCAGTTAGCAACAATTTTATATAAATGTTTTTGCGTCAAAAATTGCGATAGCGGTTCGAAAATTGTCGCTAGCTGGTTACAGAATTTCCCCGAGGTCCTGTACTTCTCCGATCTTCACATGGCCTGGCCGATAAATTCGTTCAAACCATTAAAGTACCTACATACCTGCGCAGCTGCAAAGGTCTCTGAAGGTATAGAACTGCGTGCGGACCGGGTACATCCCCAAGGCTTGGAGGGTAGTCAGTTTGCTTTCATCCCGAAGACCGGAAAAGGTTTACATGTTTCCCCTAGACCTATCAGACTCTTCATTTTTGTTAAAAACGCTATAGAGACTGAAGGACCTGTACATATGAAACGCGATTCCTCGTGACTGTCTTTCAAGAGCTCAATATGCTTATTGAAAGAAAACGTCGCATGAAGATTATGCAGTAGGTACCTTCTTCGATGTCGAGGGGGCCTTCAACAATGAAACTCCAGAGGAAATAGTCAAATATATTCATAATTTGGGGATTGAAACCAACCTAATAAGCTTACTTCGAGAAAGAACTGTCGCGGCGGAGTGGGGGAGCGTTTGCACTTAGTTCAGAGTCAAAGGGAGTACCCCAAAAAGTGGTGTTCTATATCCCCTGCTCTGGATTGCGGTTGCAAGCGACCATCTAGAGGAACTGGAAAAAGTGGGCTGTCGGGTAATCGCCTAAGTAGATGATGTACAACTTTTGGTTAAGGGACGATTTATATACACCGTTTTTGGTCTGGCTCCAGGTTACCTGCTGGTAACTAGGTGGGCGATCAACGGCGGCTATCGTAAAAGTCTAACATTAAGGAAAGGGTAGAAAATGTCGGTTGCCTTGTACTGCTGTAAGGGAGTTATCGGTAAAAGGTGGTAATTCATTAGCTCTAGGAAACCAGATTTAAGCCTATATTGTTTCAAGGAGCCCTTGTCTGAATTGTCGCAGCACAAACTGCTATTAGGCTAAAGGAAGCTGGGTCCTTTTGTGACATAAAGAAGGAAAAGAAAAAGTTTCTCTGCTGCATCAAATGTTTTTATAGCGCACTATAAAACACGTTACCTCTCAAGGGCTAGTGATGGGTGTTCTGAAAGGTCATGTGCGGTTGGTATTCATGCGGTGACAGTAGGAATTTCGACTGATCCTTTTGCAACAACTGTCAAGAGGAAGATGAAGTGGAATCATCTCCACACTTTCTTTTAGATTGTGCAACCTTCGCGAGGCTAAGATGGAAGCATTTTGGCTCGCACTTCTGAACCAGTGATGCCAGACATTCTCTGTTAAATATCCCACGGAAATGGGGAAAAAATCCCTCAATTACCCACATCTTGAAAATTTATCCCACAAAATTCCCAACGAATTTAAACATATACATGTTTCAGTAGTAAAGAAGTAAAATTCATATAAAATAATAATAATAGTTTGGCGCTTACACATTTGTGCTTTTCCTCCAATTTGTGGCGGTCCCTTGATGTTGTCACACAAAGGGGAGGGACCTACAGTTTTACGCCGACTCCGAATGGCGAGTGTATTTTTATGAGAAGCTGTTTTTCATGGCAGGAATACACTCAGAGGTTTGCCATTGCCTGTCGAGGGCCGACCGCTGTTAAGAAAAAACCCCTTCTTCTGCATTTTTTTCACTCATTCATTTTTTCCCTTTCATTTTTTTGCTCACTCACTAAGGGCCTAAAAGAATTTTTTGGTGACTTTAAAATTGAAGCACATTCATGTGCTATTTAACATTTCATCAGATAATTTGTTCCGCTTTTTACATGAAACACCAGTTACAACTGAAAAGATTCTTTCTTACTCTAGCGCTTGAATAGGTTAACGTTAGAAAATTTTCGAAATTGTCCTTATACTTTTTAACAATTATATACCATTTCACTCCACATCACATCTTCAGAACGATTAATTACGTAAGAATGTCGAATATTCTTGAATTTTGATCAATTATGCAACAATAACTGCGTCAAAAGAAAATCCCTTATTTATATGAAGTGTCCCTTTTTTTCTCTTTTAATAATTTTTGATGCAAAATATCCCTCAAATAGGGAAATTACCCACAATCTGGCATCACTGTTCTGAACAAGCACGGGTCCCAGAGATCGAAATTAGCCGCATTCGAACTTTCACGTTCAGCTCGCGGCGTTAAATTAACGCAACCAAACCTGTACTTCTTTGAGCTATGAAATAGTTGGTCAAATTAAGCATACCCAAAACTATTACCGATAACAATCAGGGACGTGAACCGGTTTTGAACTGGAAAATCGCTTATATACGCGGGCGCACTTGTGCACAAGGGTATATTAACTTTGTGACGGTTGTTTGTAACAGCCAAAACGAAGCGAGATAAATATAGACAAATGTGTACATAAATGCTCAGAATGAATAGAGACGTCGATTACCATGTCTGTCTCTCCGTCCGTCTGTCCGTGTACACGATAACTCGAACAAAAATTGAGGTATCTCAACGAAATTTGGTATTAGATTGCCAAGGTAGGTTGGTATTGAAAATAGGCGAAATCGAACTTTAACCACGTCCACTTCCCATATCACGGTATTTTCAGAAAATGCAAAAACTACGATATTTGAGTAAATATTGGATCCAAATTATGCAAAATTATTTTGTGAAGTAGAATTTTGGTAATAAATAGTATTATTATGAAATTTTTGAAAAAATGGGCGTGATCACGCCCACTTATGATGAAATGCTGTATCTTAGTACCCGCTTCACCAATCCTTACCAAATTCGGTACGAGCATTGCCTAGGGCCTATCTAATGAATCTGTTAATAATCTTTGAAATCGGTCAATAACCATGGCCACCTCCCATATAACGGTACAGAATCATGAAAACTCAATAAATCAGTAACTACTGAAGCTAATTCACTCAAAATCGATTACTAGAATATCCACTTAGCAAAAAATTAGACTAATATACATTTTTGGATAATGGGCGTGGCGCCGCCCACTTATGACCACAAATGTGTACCTCGGTAACCGATTCATCGATTTCTATCAAACTCGGGGCTCTGAATACCCTTAATTCAAGAAAGAAATTCGTTGAGATTTCAACGTAGGTGGTGTGGTTCGAAAACCGATCTAAGTTTGATAAAAATGTTCATGTCTTTCGAATTAATTTTAAATAATAACAAGTAAAAAAGTCTAAGTTCGGGCGGAGCCGAACATTAAATACCCGGCGCAAGTATTAAATATATGTTTTTCACCTTTCCGAAAGCTACCGCTACATGGTAAACCGAGGTGTATCCATTTTGAGTAAATTAGCGTCCTTAACCCTTTCAATACTGCGGGGATATATAAGTCCCAGAGAATGTTCAAAAATTACTGGAGCGAAAAATATTCGCTTTAAAAGCGCTGGGATGGGATTAAACCGTAGGTTGTAGACAGTACTTCACAACACGTGCTTCGGTCAACATAACCTAACTAATTTGTACTTGGTATACGGTCATAAGTGTAAGAGTGTTCTTGGTGCATACACGTGTAAGCAATATTTTAAGTTTTTTCTACGTGTTTTAGTGAAAAATTTTTCTGTTTCTCATTACAAAAGGAAAAGGTAAATTGCATGTCACATTTACATATAAGTATAAATTGATCTGTATGCATATATACCTTGTTTTGTTGCATTGGGACCCAGCAGTTTTCTATCAAACGAATTTAGTTTTTGTTATTGAAATAATTTTAGGATGAATCGACCACTGACTAACGAAGAAATTGAGGACGAGCTTGATAATTCATCTGATATGGAGGTGGATCCTTTCCATGACAGTGACGATAGCCGTGACACAGATTATAAAGTCTCTGATGCCTCCATATCTTCTGAAGTAGATAGCACGGATTCCTCAGATAATGAAGATATCCAGATGCTTGAAAATTTACAAACGGTAAACGTTACGAGTTCAAACGTTGCTTTGTGTTTCGACCGTTTTTTCACTTCAACACGTCTACTTGACACTATAAAATTTCCTGCTGTAGGAACGTTTATATCAAACCGTAAAAATACACCTAAGTTTCAAACTAAACTAAAAGAAAGAGGTGAATGTGAAATAGCAGTATGTGATGAAGGGATATTAGCAGTCAAGTGGAAAGACACAAAAGAAGTGCTTCTTATGAGCAACTGCCACAATGCCACTATTGATGCCACAGTTCGAAAAATGAAAGATGGTACTACTAAAAATATTGAATGTCCTGAAGCTATGATTTTCTACAACAAATATATGGGTGGCGTAGATCATGCAGATCAAATGATTACTTTATACGATTTAGATAGAAGAAGTGCGAAATGGTGGACGAAAGTATTTTTTAGATTGCTAATGACCAGTGTTTATAATTCGTATATTTTGTATCAAGAAGTCACTCGCAAAAAAATTCCATTTATCGATTTCATAGTAAATTTAGCTGAAGAGTTGATTAGTCAAGGACGATCAGAATCTTTGTACAAACGAACCAGAAGACAGGGTAGGATTTCAAAGAATGTCAAAGTTTTCGAAAATGTTGGAGATCATCTTCCAGTTGAAAAAGGCGGTCGAAACAGATGCGTGAGATGCCACTCTAGGAAAATTTAAAAACGGACTAAAATCATTTGCCAACAATGTCAAGTAGCTTTATGTATTGATTGTTTTACACCATTCCATACATAATGTAACAGTTTCGATAAAAATAAATATTTTTTACTCTTGAATACCTAAATTTGTGTTCTGATTATTTACTGCTGGGATATATTTATCCCATAACTAAACTACTGCTGGGATATATGTGTCCCAAGGCATTTTTTCAAAAACTACATTTTCCAAAAATCTGAAATTATGTAAATATGTTCCTTTACTTATTTACAGCCCATTTAGTTCAATTATACAGAAATATCTTCACTGGCCAAAAGTCGTATTGAAAGGGTTAAATTTCGAAATATTGAAGTTTCAAGCATATCTGAAATTTACTGTTATATGAAAAGCGGCCGTAATTTTAGTTCGATTTTAATAAGTTTCAACGTTTTGCTTCTATGTGGCAAGTACAATAACCACACCGCGTTTGGTACAAATTGGTAGAACGGTTACCGAGATACATATATGTGATCATAAGTGGGCGGTGCCACGCCCATTTTTCAAAATTGTATCCTAAACGTATTTCTTGGTAACGAATTGTTGCAAGCATCAATTTTGAATAAATTAGCTTCAATAATTACTGATTTATCGAAGATTTCGTATTTCTCTAAATTACCGTTATATGGGATTATTGTCCTATTTTAAAAATTTTCGGCCATTTCGTATGTTATACCAAGGTTAACAACTATGCCAAGTTTGGAAGAAATTGGTGCAGCGGTTACCAAGATATATACACATGTAAACATAACTGGGCGTGGCTACGCCCATTTTCCAAAAATTTATAATATTCTTATTTTTCGTCTAAAACTTATTGTAAATATCAATTTTGAGTGAATAATCTTCAGTAGTTACTAAAATATCGCAGTATTCGTATTTATGAAAATTACCGTTATATGGGAAGTGGGCGTGGTTATTGTCCAATTTTTAAAATTTTCGGCCATTTAGTATGCTGTATTAAGGCCAACAACTGTGCGAAGTTTGGAATAAATTGATGCAGCGGTTACCAAGATATACACATGTAACCATAAGTGGGCGTGGCTACGCCCATTTTCAAAAAAAGGTTAATATTCTTATTTTTCGTCTAAAATTTATTGTAAATATCAATTTTGAGTGAATTATCTTCAGTAGTTACTAAAATATCGCAGTTTTTGTATTTCTGAAAATTACCGTTATATGGGAGGTAGGCGTGGTTATTGTCCGATTTTGCCCATTTTCAATACCATCCGTCCTACGCCCGAAAGAAGTGCACATACCAAGTTTCGTTAAGATATCTCAATTTTTACTCGAGTTATCGTGTGCACAGACGGACAGACGGACGGACGGACGGACGGACGGACGGACAGACAGACAGTCACCGCTTAATCGATTTCTCTTTTCATCCTGATCATTTATGTATACATTTGTCTATATCTATCTCAATTCGTTTTGCCTGTTACAAACAACCGTTATGTGAACAAAGTTATAATACCCTTGTGCACAAGTGCGCTCGGGTATAAAAATAATAATGAAAGTTCTGGCATCTTTCGACTATTTTGTTTTGCTTTGGTGTTCGTTTTGGTCTCAATTAAACATTAAACGTGCATATTTCAAACATGGTTTTTATTATAATTTTGTGAATTTGCGGGGCTTGCGGTTTTATCGGGTGTGTCGGGAAATGATTTTGGTTCCGCCCCGCCCGCCATATTTTTACAGATCTTCCCGATATCGCCCATTCCGGCCAATTTTAAATCATTACCGTGCCTCCCGCGGATGTCACTATCCCGCGCCCGGCTCTATGATAGAGGTATTAGAAGGCACGCAGTTTCATTTTGGAACGAAGTCAAATGTCCTATTTGATCGCTTATTTTCACGCGTTTTATTATAGAAAAATCACCTGTGGTAATGTTATAGTTTATTTGGGAAAACATTCAAATAAATTAATTTTAAGTTAATTTTGTTTGATGGTACAAATACCTTTGTTTTTCGCTTGCTCTCATTTTAAATATTCGCTTCTGCTAAATACGTTTACAATATTCTACTTTGGAATTGTCTACCTTCTTTTTCTTATTAACCGAATTCAAAAAACGGAGGAGGTTATCTATTCGTCGTGTATATTTTCTCGCCCGCTGTTAGTACAAGTAAGTGTTACTTGCCGCGGAAAAGCGGGACGCTCAATTTGGAAACTGTCAAACGCACTCAATGACACTAGACGAAAATAAGTTAATTTAATTTCAAGTGCGAAACAACAAAGGCAATAAGGTAAAAAAAATAACAATACGAATGGAATGCGGAGCAATGGCAACGCAATGGCTTCAATATCAGTTTCTGAAGAGAAACAGCAACAACAACCAGCATAGCAGCAGCAATATAGACAACAAAAATCCATTCACCGATTGATGTCGTCTTTACAAATAAGACCCCTTTCAGACACGTCAAGGCTTTCTTCGTCGTCACGTCTCCTTCGGCTATGAACTCGCGAAGGACGGATGGTATTGAAAATGGAAAAAATCGGACAATAACCACTACTACCTCCCATATAACGGTAGTTTTCAGAAATACGAAAACTGTGATATTTTGGTAACTAGTGAAGCTTATTCAGTCAAAATTGATATTTACAAAGATAATAAATTTTTGGAAAGTGGGCGTAACCGCGCCCAGTTATGATTACATCTGTATATCTCGGTAGCCGTTCCACTAAGTTCCCCCAAACTTGGCACGGTTGTTGGCCTTATTATTATTGCTATTTTATTTTTTCCTCCGATAAGTTTTTTAATTGCAGCTATATCCTGGTAAAAGTGGTCGCCTTGTTCATCACTGAACTGTCCAAAATTATGCGGGAAGAAGTCCAAATGAAAATGAAGGAAATGAATTTTAATGGACATGTTAAAACCCATTCCAACGTAAGCATTGGAAAAATCGTCAACATCCGTGAGATAGTCGTCGCTTCTGTGGTTTCCAAAGAAATTATTGCATAGCGCTACAAAACACTTCCATCCACGTTTTTCTACACAGCTTAGCTTAGCAGACTTGAAATCAAGACTTAACGTGTCTGAAAGGGGTTTAAGCATTTTACAAGCTTGCCTGTTTCTCTTTTTCTTGTTGCCACAAAGCTTTCTGCTTTACTTTTAAATCTAGTACCTACCCAACAAACACTGGAACAAACATTTTCAAACGCTTGAGAAAATCTTTTTCTCAATTTGATTTTCAGCATTGCTTATCATTTGAAACGAGACATTTCCTAA